AGTACTAGATTAACTCCAAGGATCTTTCTGGTTGAAATAGTCTATTATTCTCTTCAGATCACATATGTTAATACTGTGACTAAGAGAGCCCAAGAACAATCCCATCTTAATTAAAGCTTCTAAAAATTCAAAATATTTCTCATCCCTCCTCTAGTCCCAAAAGGATAGTCACAGCTACTGTGGAACATTTAAAAAATGTTTTAATAGTGCAGTTTAAAATTTCCCAATAAAGACTATCTTGCCACACAATAGTTAAGATTGTAATTTAGGTTTTAGTCACTGGATTCTAAAAAGGAATTGAATCATAAAGATAATAGGAAGTCATATATAAGAAAAGCAATTATGCATGAGTGTCCATTTCCAGAAACCAGTCTCATTTCATACCATGTTATCTCCTGTAGCTGGGAGCAATCTCAGAAGTCCAAGCCTAACCTCTGTCACATCTAACCTTAAAATACCATAAGTCAGATTCGCCTTATCAGATCACTCAATTTCAGCCAACTCTTGGGATTCTGAACTAAAAGGCCTGTATGGGGTGTGGGGGGCTAGAGCAGGGAGGTGGCAACACAGGATGAGCATACGTGGAGGATTTCACTTCCTTGTAAGAGTTCATCTGAATTAAAATAATGTTGGGCCGAAACCGGTTCGGCTCAGTGGATAGAGCGTCGGCCTGTGGACTGGAAGGTCCCAGGTTCGATTCCGGTCAAGGGCATGTACCTGGGTTGCGGGCATATCCCCAGTCGGAGATGTGCAGGAGGCAGCTGATCGATGTTTCTCTCTCATCGATGTTTCTGACTCTCTATCTCTCTCCCTTCCTCTCTGTAAAAAATCAATAAAATATATTTTAAAAATATATATTTAAAATAATGTTGGATGCCCAGCTCGATCTCAGGTATGGGGTGCGCAGGAGGCAGCCGATCAGTGGCTCTCATCATTGATATTTCTCTTTCTTTCCCTCTGCATTCCTCTCTGAAATCAATAAAAAAATATATTTAAAAAATATTTGAAAACCAAAAACCCAATAATGAATGATTTACTAAAAAACTACATGCAAAGAACTCTGCTAGGCACATGGGGGATACACAAATGAATTCAGGGAATTTAAGAATCAATTAGTATTTTAATCCTATAACACACTGTTTGAAATGAGTGTGGGTAGCCTGCCATCTTTCTATTGCATTCTCCACTCCATCCCTTCTCTAGTGCAGTTTGAAACAATATTAAGATAAATAAACCAGCCCTGGCTGGTTTGGCTCACTGGATAGAGCGTCGGCCTGGAGACTAAAGGATCCCAGGTTCGATTCCGGTCAAGGGCATGTACCTTGGTTGCGGGCACATCCCCAGTAGGGGGGTGTGCAGGAGGCAGCTGATCGATGCTTCGCTCTCATCGGTGTTTCTAACTCTCTATCCCTTTCCCTTCCTCTCTGTAAAAAATCAATTAAATATATTTTTTAAAAAAGATAAATAAACCAAAATAGTAATACTTAAGGAAATATGCTGTTTCATGAGTGATATAAAATGATTTAGGAATTCAAAGGCTAACTGGCCATCTGGTTTTAGTAACTAGTGAAGACTTACTGGGATTAGTTTTGAGCAAGGTCTTGAAAGATAGGAATAAATCCATTTTAGTTTACCTGTTTGCCCTTGGAATATGTTTTATTAATAAAGAGCATCACAGATGGGAAAAGCGTACTCTAAAACAAGGACAAAGATCACCATTAGCAAGCATCAAGTCACCAGTTAATAGCAGCCCTTCTTCACTAGTGATTTCCATTGTCTCATGCAATCACACAATGGCAATAGTGCTCATCCAACTACAAAGTTTATTTTTGTTACAATAACCACTAGTGTTTTTGCCAAATACAGATCTGCTATTTAAAAGAGGAAACAAAACAGTTTCTTTAAAGTGAAAAAGGCAAAGCTTAAGGGGAATCGCCCAAAAATCAATTTCCACTGTGAAACACTACCATCCAATGCAAATAATCATTCTCTTCCAGTTCTCTACTTAATTTTTACCTCCCATCAAATACCATCATGCATCTGAGGTGCACAAAGATGCACATGACTATAGGTTACGATAATACACACTGTAATGACTTCCATTATTTCTCATGGGCAAACTGTTTTGAAATCTGACTTCAGGTTACTAGCACTTATGTACAAACACAAAGCTCGTACATGCCTGAGTTTCCAGTGAAGGTAGAAGATGAAGGCTGAAAGAGTATTACAAGCCTCTATCCTAGAACCCTAAGGCAGGGGTGGGCAAACTTTTTGACTCGAGGGCCACAATGGGTTCTTAAACTGGACGGGAGGGCCGGAACAAAAGCATGGATGGAGTGTTTGTGTGAACTAATATAAATTCAAAGTAAACATCATTACATAAAAGGGTACGGTCTTTTTTTTCAATAGTTTTATTCATTTCAAACGGGCCAGATCCGGCCCATAGTTTGCCCACGGCTGACCCTAAGGGAACCAAAATTGTTTCAAGTTCCATATGTTTAAGTAAAAAGACATTAATTCAGATCTCTCTCTCCACCCCCCCCCCCCACACACACACCCCTTCCAAATGTCATGATCCTGTTTGCTTTTTTCTAATAGATGTTAAATAAACACCTAACAGTGGTTCTCAACCTTCTGGCCCTTTAAATACAGTTCCTCATGTTGTGCCCCAACCATAATATTATTTTCGTTGCTACTTCATAACTGTAATGTTGCTACTGTTATGAATCGTAATGTAAATATCTGATATGCAGGATGGTCTTAGGCAACCCCTGTGAAAGGGTCGTTCGACCGCCAAAGGGGCCACGACCCACAGGTTGAGAACCGCTGAATAGTGAAAGACTTAGAATGTAAAGAACTTACACATTTTATTTAACTCCAAAATTTTATTTTAAATATATTTTTATTGATTTCAGAGAGGAAGGGAGAGGGAGAGAGAGAGAAACATCAATGATGAGAGAGAATCACTGGCTGCCTGGGCACCCCTGCAACTGGGGATGGAGCCTGCAACCAGGCCCTGTGCCCTTGACTGACTGGAATCTAGTCTGGGACCCTTCAGTCAGCAGCCAAGGCTCCATCCACTGAGTCAAACCAGCCAGGGCCACTCCAAAATTTTAAATAATATTCCTTCTCTTACTTCCGCTGGTATACAGTGAGCCCACATTCACCTAAGAAATGACAGTAACAGCACCGCTTAAGGAAAGTCATGTGAAGATAGTAATATAAAGAAACCCCAACCCAACTAAAGGAAACATCGCTTTCTTACTCCTGTCACTGGTAACTTCTAAAGCTCTAAGTGGTATAATTGATCTTTTCACATACAGGATAATGATGCTCCCAGTCGTTAATACAAATTATCTCAAATATGACCAAGGAAAAAAAATCGTTAACTGTATCGGTCTTCCAATACATCACAAATACCTGGTTAAAAAATCAATCTAGTTTCACATGACTTGGTCAAACTTGGTAGAAACCAAGAGGGTGGGGATGCGACAGCAGCATGACCACGGACAGGGCTAGCGAACAATAAGCCGTGAATTAAAGGTACGGGTCTGAGGCAGACGGAGTCAGGAGCACCGCACACCTCCAAGTCTTCCTCTGCGTTCCCTCCTTGGCAACAGAAACGACTTCCAGGCCTGGCCGGCGTCTCACTCCTCACCCCCCACCCCGCGCCGGTGACAGAAAACCTGTTCCCAAGAGGAGCCCACAGGAAGATGCAGGCGCCTCGGCCTTGGTTTCTCTCTAACCGGGCAGGTACCTGCACCCGGCCTTACACTTTCCCCCGGGTTCCCTCTCCCGAGGGTGAAAGCACCCACACCCAGTCGCCCACCCCCACCCCCACCCCGTCAGGAGTCCTCGCACGAGAAGCTCATGGAACACTTCTGTCCCCTGCTCCCCACCCTTATTCACGGCCGAGCACGACACTCTCCGCATCCTTCTTCCAAGGGAGGGACCAGCGAAACAGGAGGCCTGTTGGGGAAACGGACGCCGCGGAGCGCTGACCACCGCACCGCAGTTCAAACGCACGGGGCTGGCCTCCTCTCTCGGCCTCGGCCCCACGGGGTCCCCTAAATACCGAGATCACTCGCCTCCGCGCCCTCCCCAACCCCCAGGCCTCGGAGACGAGGCCGGAAAATGAGAAGAACCGGGTGAAGCGCGAGGGCGGGTCATCCCGCACCGAGACCGCAGCCCCATCCCCACCCCGGACTGGAGTCCCCGGGGAGGATGGAGATCGCGGGAGAAGCGAGGGGCCCCGGCTCGGGACCCGGTACCGCGCCCCCAAAGACTCGGCCCGCGACACCCGGGCCTTCCGCGCCGGCCTCCCCGGCCCAGCCCCCCGCCCCCAGCCCGCGGCACTGCGGCGGCACTGACGGTGCACCCTGCGCCGACCTCACTAGCACACACGCCACACACAAAAGCGCCGCGGCCGCCGCCTTCCCGCCCCCACAGCCCGGCGGAGCAATCAATGGGGCGGCCGGCGGCCAGCGCCCGCGTCCCTCGGCCGCACACCCGACTGCCGGACCCGGCCGGCCGGGGCGGCGGCGCCGCTCACCATCGCTCCGCTTGATCTCCACGTAAATGCCGATCTGGATCTTGCCGAAGTTGGCCGTTGCCATCACCTCATCTGGAGCAGCGGCCGCGGGTCGGGGGAGGGGGACGGGAGGGCGGAAAAGGCGGGGAGGGGGCGGGGTGGGTGCGGGAGGGGGAGCGGTTGCCCGCGGCCGCGCTGGCCCTGGCGACAGCGTGAACGCGAGCGGGGGCCGCGAGGCGCAGCGGCGGGCGGGCGGGCAGGCAGGCGGAGGCCCCGGTCCTGCGGGCCGGCGGGGAGACGCGCACGCCGGGACGTCGGGGTGAAGCCGGGGCAGGGGCGTCGGGAGGCGCGGGTTAGAGTGGGAGGGCCCGCGCCGCCCGCCTTAAGCCGACGCGGGGGGGGCGGGGGGGGCGGGGAACCGCGCGCCTGCGCAGAGCGCGCCTCCGCGCCTCTTCCTCCTCGGCGGGCCTTTCCCGGCTGCCTCGGGGCGGCCCCGCCCAGCGCCGCGGCGGGACTGGCGGGCGGGCGGCGGCTGCGGCTGGGCGGGCGGAGGCGGGAGCGGAGCGCGCGCGGCCCGGCCCCCAACGAGCCGGCGTCGAATTTGATTTTAGCGCGCGGTCTGGAAGGGGCGGCAGCCCGCGCGCCGCGGCCTTCCCCGCTCTGCGGCCTCCAGGCCTTGGCGCTCTTGCGGGAATGGGTCAGGGCCTGTGGTTCCAGGGCTCTCCCAGTGGAGCAGGGGCTAAGGGGTACGAATGTCGGGGCGTAGGGGCCGACCAGTTGACCGCACGGGCGCAGTTTCATCCTCGCGTCGCTCTGTTGGCTTTTAGAGGCGACCAGCCCCGTAGCTGAGCCAGGTTTCCCACCCAGTGATGGACGAAGGGAAGAAACACCTTTGAGGGGTCGCCATCCTCAGTCGGAGGGATGACCCGCTTCTTCCTGGCCGGGCTTTATACTCCTGGACACTCGCAAAAAAACCCCGTGGGGGCGCAGCCTCTACTGCTCCACGTGCGATGCCTCCATGGCCGGGCTCCTGCCTCTGCCGTAGGGTTCCTGACTGTTTGCCCCTGGCCCATAAAGCCATAACTGTGACTCAAGGACCGAGGGCAGACACTGAGGTTGACACCGAGGTATGTGCCTTTTCTTCAGAGTCACTTGACCAGTTTGATCACATCAGCAGTGGAGAGCAAGACTCCCCAGCTGGAAGGCCGTGCGGACGGGGACCATGGAAACTGTTGACACCACCGTGCAGTGCAAAAACCAACACGCTGTGCCTTTTGTTTCCAGGGTTGGGACTTGATAGGCGGAAGCACACTTTTTGGGCCTTACTTTCTCTAGTCATTGTTAATATATCTGTAATAATAACGAAAAAATAGACACTTTTAAAAATATGAAACGGGAAACTGGATATGTATGTGTTAAGTGCACACAACCTGGAGTTTTCAGCCTAATATAAGTGATCAAGTCAAGTAGACTAAAAAAAAATAGTTGAAAGGCTAATGTTGCATCTGTAATTTAAACACTGAGGGCATACTTGTCAAAAGAACACTTTCTTCATCCTAAAGTAGGAATAACTTCTGTGGAAAAAACAGACAGGCAATGGGAAGACAACTGAGAAAATAACTTATTTCACATTCCAGAAATGACATTACTGTAAATCTCACTTCAAGTCCTCTTTCAAAATAGGATTTGACCAAACCAAGTTTTTATTTTTCAGTTTTTAAAAATCTTAGGAGTTTTATCTGAACTCTTTGAGTTTCCAGTCCAGTAGAATTCATTCTCTTATGTTTCTGTGACTGAAGTATAAAGCATCTATTTGCTTGCAAATTATTTAAAGAGTGCGAAGAACCTGACCGGGAATCTAACCATGACTTCCTGGTTCATAGGTCGAAGCTCAACCACTGAGCCATGCGGACTGGGCCATCAGTTTATTTTGTTCATTAGATTCCACATAAGAGTGAGATCATGCAATACTTTTCTTTCTCTGCCTGGCTTATTTCACTTAGCACAATACTCTCCAGGTCCCTCCATGCTGTTTCAAAGGGTAAGAGGTCCTTCTTTTTTATTGCTGCATAGTATCCCATAGTGTAAATGTACCACAGTCTTATATAGCATCCAAACTATAACCTGAAGGCACAGGTGCTATTTGAAACAAGCTATTGAGTAAACACATGTCCGTGTTTTCAAACTGGGGAATTTTTTAAAGAAGTGATTTATTTTTCTGAGAGTATAGAAGCAGTTTCCTGTAAATCATATTAGTCCTGAAGGGACTGTAGCAGGAGTGGCCACAAGCCTTGTGGCATTTGTAAGAGTTGCAATTGAAGGACTAGGTAGTACCATGGTTGAAAGGGTGATTATTAAGAAAATGGGTGAAGACTATCTGTTGAAAAGAAAGCACAAACTACCAGCTGGCCTCAGAGAATCCAAGAAGGTTTAGTTTATGGTTTTGAAAATGGCCTGGCTATAACTGTGACAAAATCAGAGTAGTTCAAAGAGGAGTAAATAGATCCCACAGACGTTTTAGGAAGGTGGTTTAGGTGGAACATTGACATGGCCAGTTGCTGCAACTATGACATATTTATCAGTAACTGTCCAGGAATTTAAAAACCTTCAGAAAAAGACTGTTGAAGAACAACCAGATGAATGTGTACACATACTGAATATTAGAAATAGTAAGTAATTATCAATTTTATTAGGTCTGATAATGATATTATGATTTTCTTTTTTAAAAAGTTTTTATTTTTTGAAGATATTCACAGGCGCTTACATAACACACACAAAACTACATTGACTTTTATTCAAGTGGTGGGATCATGACTCTTTTTAAAATCTTTAATAGAGGTAGAGTTTTCAGTCTTTACAAGTTGAAGGGTGATACAAAGATGTCACCTGTCCTGGAAAGGAAATATTTGAAAATCACAAGTATTCCATAAATGAGTGGCAAAGACTGCTAGGTATCATCTGCCTCCCTTGACTTAGTGTGGCCATATGATTGCATTCTGGCCAATGGAATGTTAGTAGAATTAATTGTACCCTTTCAAGCCATCAAACCTTCCATGCATTTTCTTATTTTCTTTCCTTATCTCTCAGCAGCAGGACAAGACTCCTAGAAAAGAGTTGAGCCAAAAACTGGATGGAGTCTGGATCCCTAAATAACTGCTCTTCTCTCCATTGAACTTCAATGCACCACAAAATGAGTAAGAAGCACATTTTGTTGTGTTAAACCACTAACATTTTGGAATTATTACAGAAGTTAGTCTACCATGACTATATAAGTCACCACCAAAATTTGAGATTATTAAATGATAACAGAAAGTGGTGGTTTGAATAGGACCAAAAGAATTCTCACAGGTTAGGCTTCCTAGGAAGCAGACTCTGAAGCAGAGATTAGCATGTAGGAAATTCACTGTGAAGTGTCTTTGGGATCGACACCTTTGGGATAGTAAAGAAGCAGGACTGGGCAGAAGGAGAAGTTGACCTGTGCAGCAGGGACAACAAAGGCCTCTGTGAATTCCATGGGTAGCTTTAGAGCTAGGATGTTCTTTCAGACTTGTCTTAAGTTGAGAAGAGGGGACAATTGTATCTTGCAAATGGCCAGTTTTTGCATATGGGCACCCCTTGGGGAAGAGGAGTGGAACTTGGGTGAGGCAGCTTCCTTTGGTGGTGAGCAATCCCGGAGGGAGAATTCAGTTGTGAGCCCTCAGTAGCCAAAACTCCTGCAACCATGGAAATGAGTGTCTTGGTCATAAAGGTGGATCTGGGCAGTGCAACACACATCCACTTGAGGGATATTCAAGAAGCTGGTTTGTGAGGGGCAATATGCTTCTAATGAATAGGCTGAAGAGCTATATATTATTTATGAAAAAGACTTCCTACTAGGGCCAAGAGATAAGTAAAGTTTGTATTACATGCCAAGGAATTTAAGAAAATAATTAATATCAAGATACCAGGAGATGGTAGATAGAAGAAGCAAGAGAATCTTCCTTGAGGTTCTAATTGAGAGGGAGACTTGACTAAAGATAAGCACAAGAAAGAAAATACAGCTTCCAATGTTTCCCTTCACTGGCTTTCTGATGATGCTAATCAGTTTCATTGAAAACCAGTTGGAGGCTGGTAAAATTATCAAAAGGAGGTTCACTGAGGTTTTAAAAACTTGATTCTTAATAAATTTTTAAAGATGGCAATCTTTCCCTTAATGAATCTTTATTATTTGCTGCAAGGGGATAGAAAAGCTGCCTAAAGATAAACTCCACAGGAAACCTAACTATGCCTTGGCCATGGCCCTTGCTCAAATATTTCATAGGAAAGTGTTCCATTAAAAAAGAAAAGTATCTCAAAAAAAAAAAAAAAAAAAAAAAGATAAACTCCATTTGGAACTTAAGTCTAATGTTTTTTTTGGAAAATATATTTTATTGATTTTTTACAGAGAGGAAGGGAGAGGGATAGAGAGAAACACTGATGAGAGAGAAACATCAATCAGCTGCCTTCTGCACATCCCCTACTGGGGATGTGCCCGCAACCAAGGTACATGCCCTTGACCGGAATCAAACCTGGGACTCTTCAGTCTATAGGCCTATGCTCTAGCCACTGAGCCAAACTGGTCAGGGCTTAAGTCTAATGTTTTAAAATTACATTGTGAACTCTGCTTGCTTCACAGAGCCTGAGTGAGTGAGGGGTAGATTGATTGAAGGCAACATTGCCTCAGGAGTAACAAAAGAACTTGTGATGGAGTATGTACCTTTCCCCTTGAAGTTATCAACATACCACCAAAACAAGAAGAGTAATACAATTATCATCTGTACTCCCACCATCCCTTATTAATAACTAATACTTAGTTAATAAATAAAAATAAATATTTTATTCATAGTCCAATGATCTTTTTTACTTACAAGTATTTTTATTTTTATCTTTACTGTCAAGATTTTAGATGCTCTTATAATATTGCTTATTAGAGAAATGAGAAAACTAATTCTTTTAGAGAACAAGAGCATTTAGAATTTTGAGAGCCCAGATGCATTCCCAAAAGCTTAATTATTAATCTTTTAAAGTAGTTCTGGGATTAAAAGTCATACTTATAATAAAACTCTTTCAATTTATCTATTTTTTTAATTTTTAAAGCTTAAAACTTACAAGTATTTAAAAAAAACTTTTAAAATAAAAAATCATTGGTTGGAATCATGCTCAAGCATAATCTCATGACTACCTTTCTAATCACATGGTGACATTTAGATAACCTTTACTAACTCTTAAGATAAATGGTGAAAAAGTGGGAACTTGCCCAGGAGAGGAAAGCCCCCTGAGATTTCAGAGCTACAGAAATAAGTCCTCAGGCCAACTCCATGGGTGCTGAGTTGATCTAGTTCATGTTTTATTGGAATGCTGACTTCAGAGGAAACTTCTTGAAACCCCACAAATACTGACCTCTTTCAGAAGCTGGTAATATGAAACAAAACAAAGTTTCCAACAACTCAGTTGCAATGAATTGTACTTGAGAACAGACAGTTCCTGTTAGAAGTAACCATACCCTGTCATGTAACCCAGCAAGCTGCCCTGAATCACCACACTTGAGAATTTCAGGTTTGCTTTTTCTAAGTTTCCTATTCTGGGGAACATCACTCTTTTCAATGACCATCTCTTTGAAACAGAAATCACAGGGTTTACCTGGAAAATAAGGCATCATGATATTTATTTATTTATTTATTTATTTATTTATTTATTTATTTAAAATATATATTTTTATTGATTTCAGAGAGGAAGGGAGAGGGAGAGAGAGATTGAAACATCATTGATGAGAGAGAATCATTGATTAAGGCAGCATGATGTTTAGAGGTGTGTGTGTAAAAATGCTAATGAATATAAACTATAAAAGGACTGACTGGTTTAGGGCACTTCCTAAAAATATCTGACCAATTTTTTTCTTATTAGATAATATAGACTATATAATACACAGCGAATTTGTTATCAAAGAATTATTTACAAACTATTTTTGGAATTGAGGGTCCTGAACAGTGAATATCTGCAAAATTCTCCTTGAAAATTATACATTTATTCACCAACTCAACAAACATTTCTGACCTGCTATGTGCCAGGCATTATTGTAGGTGTGTAGGATGCATCAGTGTCCAAAACGAAGATCCCTTTTTCCATGCTATTAGGACCTTATATCCTACTAGTGGAGAAATAATATAAAAACAAAATAAGTAGAGCAGGATGAGGAGGGTCAGGAGTGTTGGTAGGACAGATAGTCTACAAGATTAAGTAAGATAGTCAGGGCAAGGCTCATTGAGGTAGTGAGGTTTCTTTTCAATACATTTTTATTAATTTCAGAGAGGAAGGGAGAGGAAAAGAGAGATAGAAACATCAATGATGAGAGAGAATAATTGATCTGCTCCCTCCTGCATGCCCCCCACTGGGGATTGAGCCTGCAACTCAGGTATGTGCCCTGAGAATCGAACCATGACCTCCTGGTTCATAGGTTGATGCTCAACCACTAAACCATGCCAGCTGGGCAGAGGTAGTGAGTTTTGAACAAAGACCAGAAGGATAAGATGGAGTTCAGCTCAATGAATATGTGGATAAAGAACATTGCAGCCTGAGAAGCAGCCACACAAAGGCCCGTCTGGTTGGTTTGAGGAGGAGTAAGCAGAGGGATAGCCAAGCTGTGATAGCCATGGCCAATCTCTCAGAATTGTCTTGAGCTAGGCTAAAACAGTCATCAGATGTAGGCCACCAGGAATGGCTATGACCTTGATCAAGGTGGCTCTCTGTAGTTGAAGTTGCTTAGAGTGGTGGGCTGTCTACTGACATCACTCCCAACAGCCTTCATTGAAGGAATTGCTGGAAGGTACATCTAGGTATTAATCCCTTTGGCATGCCCCAGGTCATCTGTGGTCCATGAAGGTTGGTCTAATTCCAGCATTCTAACCAGCTAGAAAAAGAGAAAGAAGGAAAAGGGAATGTTCTGGTAGTTGTATGCACTATTTCTGCTCATAATCTATTACTAGAATCTAATCAAGGAAAGCTAGATTATGTAGCCTTTATTCTTAGTGGCCTGGGACAGCAACAGGAATTTAGGGATAGCTTAGCAGAGTGGTTCTATCTTTGGCAGAGGCTGGAGGGATCTCTGATGAAGTTACATTCAAGATGTCAGCTGGAGCTGCAGTCATCTAAAGGCTTGACTAGGCGGAAGGATTCACTTCCAAGGGGACTCATTTATCTGCCTGCTAAGTTAATACTGGTTGTTGGTAGGAGGTCTCAGTTCCATACAATGTGGACATGTTCATAGGGATGTCTAAGTGTTCTCACGACATGTTATCTGGCTTCCTCTAGAATGAGTGATTAGCCATAGCCGGTTTGGTTCAGTGGATAGAGCGTGGGCCTGTGGACTAAAGGGTCCTGGGTTTGATCCCAGTCAAGAGCATGTACCTGGGTTGCAGCCTCCTCCCTGGCCACACCCATGGAGGAGGCAACCAATCAATGTGTTTCTCTCACATGGATGTTTCTCTCTGTCTTTCCCTCTCTCTTCCACTCTCTCTAAAAATCAATGGAAAAATATTCTCGGGTGAGTATTAAAACCCCCCACAAAAAACAGAGTGAGTGATTAAAGGAGCAAGACAGAGGCTGTAATTTATTTTGAAATTTTATTATTCTACTAATTTTTAATTTTAAATTTTTATTAAAGTATAATTTATATACAGCATTATAAATCTGTAACATTTTCTATGACCTAGACATGGAAATAATACTGTTTTTCTTTAATATAGTTATACAAGTTAGCCCTCTTTAGTGTTGGAAGGTGAGACTCTTGGGGGTAATTTAGGGATCTGTTCCTCTCAGTTCCAGTTTTAAAATTCCTGAGAAAGAGACCAATAGACCCATTTAAGGTCAGGTGCTCACTCTTTTTTTTTTTTTTAAATATATTTTATTGATTTTTTACAGAGAGGAAGAAAGAGGGATAGAGAGTTAGAAATATCGATGAGAGAGAAACATCGGTCAGCTGCCTCCTGCACACTCCCCAATGGGGATGTGCCCGCAACCAAGGTACATGCCCTTGGCTGGAATCGAACCTGGGACCTTTCAGTCCACAGGCCAACGCTATATCCACTGAGCCAAACCGGTTAGGGCCAGGTGCCCACTGTTAATAAGACCAATTGATTATGCCTGGTTGGAAGCTTGCTGTGAGATAGGGTAACATTTCTCATGTTCTTTTCATTTTATTACAACACTAGAGGCCCAATACACAAAATTCATGCAAGGGGCTTGGTCCTTGTAGCTGCGGTGGCTTGCCTCTGTGGCTTGCCTCCGTGGCTTTGTCCGGAAGGTCGTCCGGAAGGATGTCTGGAAGGTCATTCGGCTGTTTGGTCTAATTAGCATATTACACTTTTATTATTATAGACTAGAGGCCCGGTGCACAAAAATTTGTGCACTCGGGGGGGAGGGAGGGGTCCCTCAGCCCGGCTTGTGCCCTCTTGCAGTCTGGGACCCCTCGGGAGATAACGACCTGCTGGCTTAGGCCTGCTCCCGGGTGGCAGAGGGCAGGCCCAATCCCTAGGTGCCCAATCCCCTGGTCGGGCTCAGAGCAGGGCCGATTGGGGAGTTGGGGCGCTGCCCCCTGTCATGCACAGAGCAGGGCAGATTGGGAGGTTGCGATGCCACCCTCAGTCATGCTCAGGGTAGGGCCGATTGGGGGGTTGGGGCACTGCCCCCTGTCACACTCAAGGCAGGGTTGATGGGGAGGTTGCGGCGCCACCCCCTGTCATGCACAGAGCAGGGCCAATCGGGGTTGGGGAGCTCCCCCCTGTCACGCACAGAGCAGGGCGGATCAGGGGGTAGGGGCGCCGCCCTCTATCACCCACAGAGCAAGGCCGATCAGGGGGTTGGGGTGCCGCCACTGTCACACTCAGGACAGGGCCGATGGGGAGGTTATGGCTCTACCCCATCACACACAGAGCAGGGCCCGTGGGAGGGGGGGGGTTGGGGCGCCACACCCTGTCACACACACAGCAGGGCCCGTGGGGGGGTGGGTTGGGGCGCCGCACCCTGTCACATACAGAGCCGCAGGGCGATCAGGGGGTTGGGGAGCTCCCCCTTATCAGGCACAGAGCAGGGCCGATCAGGGGGTTGGGGCGCCTTCCCCTGTCACGAACAGAGCAGGGCCGATAGGGAGGTTGTGGCCCTGCCCCCTGTCACACACAGAGCCGCAGGGCGATCAGGAGCTTTGGGCGCTGCCACCTGTCACGCTGATCCCAGTGCCAGGAGGCCTCTCAGCTCCGCTGATCCCGGTGCTGGGAGGCCTCGCGGCTCTGCTGATCCCGGTGCTGGGAGGCATATTACCCTTTTACTATGTAGGATAGAGGCCTGGTGCATGGGTGGGGGCCGGCTGGTTTGCCCTGAAGGGTGTCCTGGATCAGGGTGGGGGTCCCTACTGGGGTGCCTGGCCAGCCTGGATGATGGGATGATGGCTGTTTGCAGCTGGTCACACACCCTTCAGGGTGGGGGTCCCCACTGGGGTGCCTGACCAGCCTGGGTGAGGGGATGATGGCTGTTTGCAGCTGGTAACACACCCTTCAGGGTGGGGGTCCCCACTGGGGTGCCTGGCCAGTCTGGGTGAAGGCCTGAGGGCTGTTTTCAGGCTGGCGGGTGACTGAAGCTCCCAACCGCTCCTTTTTTTCTTTTTTTTTCTTTTTATTCTGGGCCAGCTTTAGCTCTGGCTCCAGCTCTGAGGCCTCTGCTGCTGAAAGCAGGTATCTGGTTTGTTTGGGTTCTATAATCGAAACACTGTATCAACTCCAGCTCTGAGATCCTGGTGGGCTGAAAGTAGGTTTCTGGGGTTTTGTTTAACTTCTATATTTGTAACAATGTT